CTGGCCCTGTCCACTCCAGCGCATATCCTCGTTCTTACCGTGTTGTATCCGTAGGGGCGGCCCATGTAATTGTAAGGTTGACTAGAGTGCCTTTCCTCTCACGAACCCGGTACCTTACTGTTATTCTTGTTTCTCTGTTGTTGTTGCTGTTGCCGCTTGCTGCTCAGTGCTGGGGGGGCAGTCACGAATATGGGAGAGTACTGGGGCCGCAAGGTACCATGAACCGATCAATGGATCCCGATGCTGGTAGCTTCTCCAGCTATTGTTGCTTTCTCCGCGACCTCGCCAAGCCTGAAAAGGTACCTTGCCAGACTTGAACCTGGACCATACCTCACCTTCCTTGCACCGTTGTGAGTGAGGTCCTGTTTTCCCTTACCTCACTTCACCTAAAGGTTACCTTACGAATAGCTCCTCGTACGGATACCTGCTGGGGCGAAACCGCAGATATTCTCTTGGGGTGAGTAAGGTGAGGTAAGAGATGAGGTAAGGTAACCTTTAGGAACCCGACCCAAGCAGCCAAGGTAAGTAATTGGGTGAGTAACCATTGGAGCCTGTGACGACTGCCCGGCCTTGAAGACGGGAGAAAGAAAGGCAGAATGCTCTTGCCTCTAAGGTAGGTACGTATGTCTGTCCCGACCTTACCTTCCTTGCCGCGTCGCTACCGCTGTCGCCGTCCATGTCGCGCCGCTCTTTCCTCGCTTCTCTCTGGGCTCTCTTTCTCGCACGCTGTTGCCGTGGGCGGACTAATACCGTCGCTTGCGGGCACGTAGTGGGGATCCCGATTGGGATGGATTGGCTTTTTCCCTCTCTCTCTCTCAACTTCTGGGTCGCAAGGTAGGAAAGTGCAGTCGGCCGGATAGCTCGCTCACTCGCTCCACGCCCTCACCCGTCCCACGCCCATCCATGATCCACGGCCCACGCCCATGCCCACGTTTATCCACGCCCACACTTGAGCCTGCATCCACACCCACGTCCCCGTCAGTGGTCGCCTCTTTCTGGTCTGGTCTGGTTCTTGCTTTGCTTTGGATGTTGCTGCTGCTGCGTCTGCTTCTGCTCCTGCCGCTCGTGTCTGCCTCTCTCCTACCCACGGCTCGTTTCTCTTAAGTAGCGAAGCTTCCACCCGCCTTCATCGGAACGCCTCTTCCCCTTCTCTTTTCTCCATCACCCACGAAGGCTGCCTATATAGATTGCCCTTCACATTCGTGTGGTGCTCAAACCTCTCTCCTCCATCTCTCCACTCTCCCTCTCATCACCTTTTCCTACGCGCTACCCTGCGATCTCAACCAATTCAGTATTCCTAGGCCCGCCCTACGAAGAAGCACAAGCAGTACCTCGCCGTTTCCCTCGGACTTATCTTACCTATCAATTCCTATCCGCGACAACAAAACCAATCTATTCGCGCATCATCAGCTTGAGCAGAGCTCGTCTGTCTCACTACAACCGCAATGGCCGACTCACACGCCGCCGCGGCCCCTGCTCTCAGCACGCCCATTGAGAGCCACAAGTTCGATGAGAAGGAACGCCCTGTTGATGCGCCCCCGGCCGCCAACCCCAAGGTCGAGGACGAGGAGGACGATGAGGACATTGACGCCCTGATTGAGGACCTTGAGTCCCAGGACGGTCACGTCGACGAGGAAGAAGAGGGTACGTCTCCTCAGGCTCGAGATGAGCATCTGTATTACAGGCAGACGATGGCGCTTGCCATTGCTCCTGTAGAACAGATGCTCTCTCACCTCCCTAATATCTCAATTGACAGCTTGCTAACGTCCCAACAGATGAAGGATCCCCTGGCATGGGCCGTGTTGTTCCTGAGGAGCAGCTCCAGACTGACACTCGTCTCGGTCTGACTGAGCAGGAGGTCATCAACCGCCGCCGCAAGTGGGGTCGCAACGAGATGGCTGAGCAGAAGGAGAACCTTATCCTGAAGTTCTTCATGTTCTTCGTTGGTCCCATTCAATTCGTCATGGAGGCTGCCGCCGTCCTGGCCGCTGGTCTTGAGGATTGGGTCGATTTCGGTGTCATTTGCGGTCTTTTGCTGCTTAACGCCGCCGTCGGTTTCGTTCAGGAATTCCAGGCCGGATCTGTAAGTCAACACCGCCCCACACCGCTGGCACGCGTTGCCAAGGGTGCCCCGAGATGACATTGCTAATTGCCCCCACTACAGATTGTTGCCGAACTCAAGAAGACTCTCGCTCTCAAGGCTGTCGTTCTCCGTGACGGCACCCTCAAGGAGGTTGAGGCCCCCGAAGTCGTTCCCGGTGATATCCTCCAGGTTGAGGAGGGTACCATTATCCCCGCTGATGGTCGCATTGTCACCGAGGATGCTTTCCTCCAGGTTGATCAGTCCGCCATCACTGGTGAGTCCCTCGCCGTCGACAAGCACCGCAACGACAACTGCTACGCTTCTTCCGCTGTCAAGCGTGGTGAGGCCTTCGTCATCGTTACCGCCACTGGTGACAACACCTTCGTCGGTCGCGCTGCCGCCCTTGTCAACGCTGCCTCCGCTGGATCTGGTCACTTCACTGAGGTGTTGAACGGCATTGGTACCATTCTGTTGGTCCTTGTCATCTTCACTCTGCTTATTGTCTGGGTTTCTTCCTTCTACCGCTCCAACGGCATTGTCGACATCCTTCGCTTCACCCTCGCCATTACCATTATCGGTGTCCCCGTCGGTCTTCCCGCCGTTGTCACCACCACCATGGCTGTCGGTGCTGCTTACCTCGCCAAGAAGAAGGCCATTGTCCAGAAGCTGTCCGCCATTGAGTCCCTGGCTGGTGTCGAGATTCTCTGCTCTGACAAGACCGGTACCCTCACCAAGAACAAGCTCTCTCTTGCCGAGCCCTACACCGTCGCCGGTGTTGATCCCGAGGACCTCATGCTTACTGCTTGCTTGGCCGCTTCCCGCAAGAAGAAGGGTATGGACGCCATCGACAAGGCTTTCTTGAAGTCGCTCCGCTACTACCCCCGCGCCAAGTCTGTCCTGTCCAAGTACAAGGTCATTGAGTTCTTCCCCTTCGACCCCGTCTCCAAGAAGGTCACTGCCCTCGTCGAGTCCCCCGCTGGTGAGCGCATTACCTGCGTCAAGGGTGCTCCCCTTTTCGTCCTCAAGACCGTCGAGCAGGACCACGAGATCCCCGAGGAGATTGACCAGGCCTACAAGAACAAGGTTGCTGAGTTCGCCACCCGTGGCTTCCGCTCTCTTGGTGTTGCTCGCAAGCGTGGTGACCACGGTGCCTGGGAGATTCTCGGAATCATGCCCTGCTCTGACCCCCCTCGCCACGACACTGCCCGCACTGTTAACGAGGCCAAGTCTCTCGGTCTGTCCATCAAGATGTTGACTGGTGATGCCGTCGGTATCGCTCGTGAGACTTCCCGCCAGCTCGGTCTCGGCACCAACATCTACAACGCTGAGCGTCTCGGTCTCGGTGGCGGTGGTGACATGCCCGGTTCCGAGGTCTACGACTTCGTTGAGGCTGCCGATGGTTTCGCCGAGGTCTTCCCCCAGCACAAGTACAACGTCGTCGAGATTCTTCAGCAGCGTGGCTACCTCGTTGCCATGACTGGTGACGGTGTCAACGATGCCCCCTCGCTGAAGAAGGCCGACACTGGTATCGCCGTTGAGGGTGCCTCCGACGCCGCCCGCTCCGCTGCCGACATTGTCTTCCTTGCCCCCGGTCTTGGTGCCATCATCGACGCACTCAAGACTTCCCGCCAGATTTTCCACCGCATGTACGCCTACGTCGTCTACCGTATCGCCCTGTCCATCCACTTGGAGATCTACCTTGGTCTGTGGATTGCCATTCTCAACCGTTCCCTGAACATTGAGTTGGTTGTCTTCATTGCCATTTTCGCCGATATCGCCACCCTGGCCATTGCCTACGACAACGCCCCCTTCTCCAAGTCCCCCGTCAAGTGGAACCTGCCCAAGCTCTGGGGTATGTCCGTCCTCCTCGGTATCGTCCTTGCCGTCGGTACCTGGATCACTGTCACCACCATGTACGCCCACCCCAACGGTGGTATCATCCAGAACTTCGGTAACCTCGACGAGGTTGTCTTCCTTGAGGTCTCCCTTACCGAGAACTGGCTCATCTTCATCACCCGTGCCAACGGTCCCTTCTGGTCCTCTATCCCCTCGTGGCAGCTGTCTGGCGCCATCTTGGTCGTCGATATCCTTGCCACCTGCTTCTGTATCTGGGGTTTCTTCGAGGGTGGTCAGCAGACCTCCATTGTTGCCGTCGTCCGTATCTGGATTTTCTCATTCGGTGTCTTCTGCGTCTGCGCTGGTGTATACTACATGCTCCAGGACAGCACCGGTTTCGACAACCTGATGCACGGCAAGTCCCCCAAGGGTAACCAGAAGCAGCGCTCGCTCGAGGACTTTGGTAAGTTTTATATCCCCCAATCTACCCCACAGTATGTGTCTTGTTACAGAACAGCGGCTAACCGTTTCATCAGTCGTCTCCCTGCAGCGTGTCTCCACCCAGCACGAGAAGTCGCAGTAAAGAGGAATCTCTTGGCAGAGTCGGGCTTGACTACGACGCTACATGCGCCGTTACAATGCTCCGTCGACTCCGCGGGATGATCTCCCTGGGCCTGTTGAATCTGGCCCCTATTGAGACCGGAGGAGACGTGGACTTGTGCCCACGAAATTCATCTTTCTCTATGTTTAAAATTGTACGATGAACTTCATCGGTAATTACTGTGATCGAGTTGGAGCGAGAGAGGAGGGGTATACCCTAGTGCGTTGATAGACCTAATACAAATCGTTAAATCAAGTAACACTATTTCCCACCCATTGTTTGTGCATGTGTAAATGGTAGTAAACAAGATTGTTGGCGTGTCAGTGTCCTCGTCGTGTTCTCTACCCTCAACATGGTCTGCTGCCCCAATCCTCCGATGATACATCTACATGTACGTGTATGTGTGACAGGGCACTTGTTATCAAGAGGTTGTGGTTTTTTTGGAGCAATAATCTGAATTATCTAGTCACGTGGTCTACCTTACTGGGGCACGACAACGTCCTTGGAAGTATCCAGCTCCTCGTGTCTTCTCAGGTCCATGGGGCGGTCGAGCAATGGCACAACATAGGGATCAAAGGTCTTCCAGTAAGGGTTCTCGAGGTGGTACTTTTGGCTCTGCACGGGGGGAGGACAACGGATCAGCGAATCTGTCAAGCATAGGACACTGAAAGTGAAGGGAGGGAGGGAGTGCTGGCGTTGCGAGGCTTTTCCAAGTTGGTGTATGTGTGTGTGTATGCGTGGGGATCCTTACATATTCCGTCTCGAAGCGCTCGACAATGGTAAAGGACCTGGGGTCGTGGACGTCCTGCATGACGAACCAGCTGACGGTCTCGCGGTCCTTTGAGTAGACGCGCGAGGCCTCGATGAGCTTTGCCTTTATGCGTTCGACCGAGTCCGGGTGGTCGTTTGCGTGGAGGTGGACGGTGAGGGTGTAGACCATGTTGGGCTTCTTGGTGAGGTGGGTAGGTATGTGTGATGTCGGAGGTAGGGTTTTGGAGGGCAATCTCTTCGAGGGGAGCTTTCGAGGTTTGTGTGGTGATGATGCTTGGAAGGATGTTGAGAGAGAGGGAGCTTGGAGGGGGTAGCTGTCTGGATTTGGGAGGTGAGGGGTTGGAGGGGCAAGGTTTTGGAGGGGAGGGCTGCAGCTGGCTGGAGCTGGAGCTGATGGGGCCTTTTGAGTGGAGAGAGGTGCTGTTAGTACCGCATGGAGATCCGTACTTATCGTTGAACATATCCGTACATAGCGAAGCTTTGTCGAGCGTGTGGTGGACGTTGGATTTGGATGCTTGGTTTAGTCTATAAGTAGCTGTGCCAATCGCTTGCTGCTGAGGTAAGGGCATTCGCTCAGTCTGCGTTGTTGAGTGGGATTAGCGACTTCACGATGGTTCAGGTTCAGGTTCAATTGGATACAAGGCGATGTCATTTAGAGGTCACGGCTACAGAACATGAGCAGAGACTCAATCGACACCGTGAAAAGATTGTCTAGTGAGATTGAGATACTGCCCCCTCGATTCAATCGTGGTATGCTTAAGACTGCCCCGTCTCTCTTGTTGGAGTCTGTGTAGAGGCAAGACATGGGATCGTATAGCATCAGTCAATGGAACGCTGCTGGTAAACCTTTACCATCGCTGAGCACAGCAACTAACACGGCCCCGAGCCAGCTAAGACGCGGTATATTGGACTACAAGGCGAGCAGCTTCCTCCCCCCCTCAATCGGAGGAGCCGTCTGAGGGAGGCAGGTCAGGTACCTTAGTTCAGCGTACGACACGCATACTATCATGGCCAAGCTTTTTATTTTTATTTTTTTATGGTGGTGGTACCTTGGATAGAATATCTTGGACTCAGCGTACTAGAGGATGGTGTCAAGAATTGCCAAGTCATCGGTTCAGCCGTTATTTTCGCCGGGGGCTACAAGCTCAACCACGTACTTCCAGGCTGCATGTGTTGGAGTGTCCGAGGAGCTTGACGCCGGCCGACGATTCTAGCGATTGATGGGCCAGATCAGCCGCGGACATATTCAACCTAAGGTAATGGTGAAGCTATCTTACCTTAGCGTCGAATCTCGCTGTAAATTTCTGCCCTTTTACCAGCAGGTAGTGATGGTGGATGAGGTGGTTGAAGCATTGAATCGGTCCTCCCCGCACACGGCGGCGGCGGCATTTGGGAGGGTGGGGTGTCGAATCTAGCGCCTTAGCTTGCCTCGAGTCCACTGCGGCTTCAGTGATTACACCGCAGAATCAGCGAGGTTAGTGGCCTCTATCATGCGGTGTGACACACCAAACGACCTGACGCTGCCACTCTCAGAGGATGGAAGGAACGGCGTATTCACCGCGAAAGTGGGTTCCTACTGCCGGCTCCGGACGACAAACGCACGCCTCCCACCCCCCACTCTTTTCCATCTTTTTTTTTTCTCTTTGCTTCCGCCCTCCATTCCGCCTGCTTTCTGTCGGGGAAAGCAGCTGCTTCACAATAATACTCGGCGCCACCGACGCCATCGTCAACCCTTGACCCAACCCACACAACCAACCAAGCCCATCACCAACTCGCAATATCCAATCCTCTTTGTCATCGTCACGACGATACGATATCGTACCGGTGTTTCTCATGCATAATTCCATCCCGCATATCTGAACCACCCCCCTCCCCGGACCATCCACATCTGCCCCCCAACACACGTGCAGATTGACCACTTACACCCACTCCCGCCACGAACAAAGCACACCATCCCGCAAGCAGGAGCATCGTTCACAGTGTTCTTTGATAGTCAGTTTGACTGTGCCTTGAGCCTTGTCTAGATCTTGAGTCCGAGACGGAGCTAGTGCCGATAATTCTTCTCTATCCTTTTCCCCTTTGGGACAACCCATCTTCCAAATATCTGAGATTTCTTGGCCTTTCCAACCACCTCGAGGCTCGATCTCTCATCTTGTTGGACCCTACCCAAGACAGGCTTTCTACTGTTGCCTCGGAGCCGAGACCGCGTAGCCATCGCGGCGGACCGAACCCCGGACGGAAAACCATCATGGCACCTCAGCCGCGGATGCAAATCCCCGGGTATTACTACGGTACTACTTACACGCCCCCCTCAAGTCTTACACCACTCTATCTATATTCGTTCATTCAACCTTCCTTAGACCACTCAGTCTGTCTTTCACTTGAACCGTACCCTTCATTGACCGGCCGGCTGATTTGGGAAAAATTCCATTCTAGATGAGGAAAAGGGCAAATATTTCAAAATCGAGAAGGGCGCCTCGGCACCGCAGACCGCCGCCTGGTCCGCCGACAATGTAAAGCGCCGGAAGATTCAGCACCGCGAGGCAGAGGCCGTCGCCGCCCGCCGGGAGCGGCTGAAGCGGCACATTGTCCGATCCGCCGCGCTACGGGCCCCGCTCATCGGCGGCGTCTTGGACGTCGAGCTCGGCGTGCGTCGTGAGGAGAGGGCGAGGCTGCGCGTCGATGGTGCGTTCGGCGTCGAGGATGTTCCTGCGGCGGCATGGGCCCGGGGGCTCGTCGACAAGGGCGAGGTGCCGTTCGTGCCCAGCTTTGCGAGGCAGAGTTTCCCGAATATCCCCTGTTTCTATGTTGGCGGCGATGATGAAAAGACAGGGCTTGGTGTTGCGTATGCAAGTGAGTTTGAGGCCCTTCCGAGATTGCGACTGCGAGTTTGTGTTTTGACTTTGATAGCTTTGGACGAGGAGACTTTGATAGGATCATATATCCCTACGGATGACAATGACAGGTGAGCTACCAACACATCTGTGCGGCTCAGAGCAGAAGCTGATGAAAGTAGGATATCCTTTAGCACCGATGCCTCGAGCCGTCCTGAACGCCGACTGTCACATCGTCACGAGATGATAGGTTGTCCCCAGATCTCATCCATCAACTATCATCCACACTCGCATCGCATAATCGTTACATCCCGCGAGCCAAGTAACACGTGCGACATCTACCTCTTTTCCCCTCCCAAATCCGCTCCCAACGATGACCGACCTCTCTGGTTACTTGACAGAGGTAATGTCTCCCTTCCCCTTTGACCCCTTTCTTTCTAACGCAGACCACGTGTAGCAAACAACCTCCGCCACATCTCCTTCAACACAGGCCGTCGCGAAGGCGTCGTAAACCAAACAACGCCCGCGCCGCCCTCTTCCTCCTCCCTACACTGCATCATCGGCACCTCATACGGCCTCCTCAAGCTCACCTCGGACGAGCGCATCCACTGGCTCGGCCCGCCGCGCCCTCGCCCGGGCCCAGCGGAAGGCGACTTCTTCGACCAGACCTTCCTCCCCTCCAACCCAAACGTCCTCCTCGCCGGCGGCCGCAACCGGGACGTCAGGCTGATTGACCTGCGCGTGAAGTGGTCCGAGTGGGATAACATCCCCGTCGGCGCCACGGCCCACCTGCGCGCCGTGAACCCGCACCAGTTCCTCGCCGCGGGGCCGAGATCCAAGATGGCACTGTTCGATCTCCGGTACCGTAAGACGAGACCCAACGGGACGAGGCCGGTTGTGGAGTTCCCGGGTTTCCGGAACGAGGCGCACATGCATTTCGGGTGGGATGTTGATGTCGACTTGGGCGTTGTTGCCGCCGCGCACGATGATGGGCGGGTGGGAATGTATTCGCTGCTATCTGGGCGGAGGTTGCGGTGTCCTGCTGTGGATACCGTCAAGGCGAGGACGCCGGTGAAGAGTTGCCAGTTTCAGAGGATGCCTGGGCGCCGGCACGCGAGTTTGTTTGCGGGCGTGGGCCCAAATTTGAAGATGTTTTCGGTTGGGGCTTTGGGGGTTGATGATGAGTGTTGAAGTGAGGTGGAGAGTTGGATAGGACGAGCTCCCAGATTACCGGCTAACATGGACATGGCCTTCGTGGTACTTCTTCTAGAGCAGCCGTCAGAACAGCTTTTGAATACATTATGTTGATGGTCTATTGAGGCGTTATTGCCGATGGTTTAGGTGAAGTCAGGGGCGATCATGTCGACGATAGAACAAACATGTCGAGCTTGGTCCATACGGTACAGCCCAATTACCTGCAATGTAGGATACAGTCTACCTTGGTAAGGAAGCTTGCTCGCCAGCTTAGGAATCCGATCTTCCTACATCGACATGACCGAGAGATGTCAATATCGACGAAGAGTCGGCGCCGGGTACCTTCCCAAAACCTTCTATTTGTTCCCCCCTTCCAAGCTACGATTTGAATCTGACCGACTTTTGAACCATTGGGTTATACCTTTTCACTTGGTCTTTCTCTACCTTTGGAGTAGCTTTCGGAGTTCTGCTACTTGAGGTATAAACCTTCTTTGATAATCACACTTGCTTTCCTCCGGGGATCAATATGGGTTCGTCATGCATGAGATTCTACTACATACTTGGCAACGAGTTCATTTTTTCCCATGTTGTTACCTATCATCATTCCCCCCTTGACCGCTTCTTGGTGTGTAAAAGCCGAGATACCCGTTTCCCACCCTTAGGAAGTCGCCGGAGGAGGAGGAGGTGTAGCAGGGCCAGGCGAGGCCGGCGCGGAGGTAGGCGAAGCCGGAGCGACGGGTGTGGCAGCTGCAGGGGAAGAAGAATGGGAAGCCGCCACAGGCGTGGGAGGAGTCTCGGCGACAGCCGCAGCCGCAACAGGAGCAGCAGAAACAACAACGGGCACAACGTCCCTCCCATCGACGTCAACCACGACAATCAACTTGAGCCCCGTAGGTCCACAAACCCACTCCAGCATCCCGCCCGGCGCACCCTCGGCGATTGTGTCGAGCCGGGCTTCTCTTATGACGTCTGAGATCACGGGTTTGCCACCACCACCAGCACAACCACCAGGTCCACAAGTGGGAACATTGACGTTGACGAAACTGAGCTGGGGAGAACCACCTGCCATGATCAAAGTCTGCTGTCCTGCGGGGACGATGGCCGGGAACGCAGGCTGCTGTGAGGGAAGAAATATAGGCTGCTGCTGCTGCGCAGCAGGGTTGCCGTAGGAGTGGAGGTAGTTTACGCCGCTGGAGTATGTCATGGCCATGGGCATCGGCGGATCCATCATCGTCGGCGGCAGCAGCGGCTGCGGCAGCGGCTGAGGAGGCTGTACGAGCGCGGGGTATCCGACGTTGAATGTCATCAGGTGGGGAGGAGGCTGTTGCTGCCACACGGGCATCGTGACCGTGGCCATGCTGCCGCCGCCGCCGTCGCCAGGGAGCGACACGACGCGGCCGGTACGGGAGGTCCAGTAGAGCGTGATTTGCGCCTCGACGATGGGGTCTGCGCGGCCTAGGCGGGCGATGGAGGCGCGGACGAGGGAGAGGAGTTGGGATTTTGTGGCTGTTGAGGGGGAGAGGCGGAGGTGGAAGCTTCTGGTCCAGCCTGGCGAGAAGGAGAGGGTTGCTGGGTTCGAGTAGATGTGTGTCTCTAAGACGATTGTGGGTTCTTCTGCCATGGTTGATTTTGCTCTGGAGTTTTTTTTTTGAGATGGTTAGAATAGTCTCTATACTTCGTTTGTTGGTCTCTTGTCTGTCGAGAGGGGAGAGGTCAGGGGATGGGGATTTCGAGCTGGTGGGAGACTTACCTAGGAGAGGGTGATGACCGTTCTTTGTTGGTGTTTTTGTTGCGTAGGAAGAGAAGATGGTTGAAAGGGTCTCTTAGTCCACAGAGTTTTTGACAGTCATGGAATTATTCAGGGAAAGAATCAAGGAGGAAGTGCTTGAGGAGCAGAGAAAGGGATTGCTCGTGGAGGTCTGCAGCCTCTATACGGATTGTGAATAAAGGGGGTTCTTAGTATGGGCCGTGTGTGATTCCGCACCAGTTGACCTCTATGAGAGCAGGGATCCGCTTCCATAAGACGATCTCCTAGGCATGATTCACTCATCATACACAAAGCTATGGATATCTTAGTGGGAAGATTAGCTTTACTACTGTGAAGATGTGTGTTTTCGATGTATGTGCTCTGATATGTGTGCTTGTCGATGGCATTGGTGGAAAGTTGGTGGTGTTTTGTTGCATCTCGGCTTCAGTTGCATAGGGTCCTCATTGTTGAATTGCCTGCTTCTTCTCAAGAACAGATGGACGATTAGTATCTGAGTTCTGGATGTTGTGATTTACCGGCCTGTAATGAGTCCAAGTTCTCTCTTGGTCTGTGTGTCTCAAGCTGTATTATATGTGATATCAGTATAACTGCCTCTGAAAAGAACAACAAGACACGGCCCCGCGATATTGCGGCATAAAGAAACAGCAATGTAGAAGACGAAGGACCGGTGGGAAAGAAATAGCCGCAAGCGAGACCGACCCCCTATACCCCTCGGCCTCGAATGTTCAGTGAAGGACGGCGTCTATTGAGGCATGAGAAGAGAAGAAGTGAAACCTCGCCGAGCGACAGCCCACGAAAACAACACCACCACCACCCTGAATTCGACTAGGATCCATACCAGAAGCCTTCTGTCATAACATGAATGTCAGCCACTACGGGAGTCATACTCGAAAGGTCTTGGGGTACGGACACAATATCAACACGAAGAAAGGTAACAAGAGCTACGATTGATGAACGTCGCCCATAGATTGAGCAACTGTGTACATGTGGAAGATAAGAATGCCGTGTTAATTTTCCAATCCACCTGCCGTACGCCGCAGTCTGTACCTTGAAAAGCCCCCCCTTCCTAACCCTAATTCCTTGGTGAGATAGAAAAGGTAAGCCAAGCAATATGGCTTGACTCATGATGACTGCCTTTGCTTGGTGCCAAAAAGCTACGCCGTATTGGTGATATATACCTCACGTGAACGCCACGGAAAAGAAACCATTTTGCCTCCTTTCCCTTAAAAAGCCTTGAAAGACCCCTATATACCGAGTGAAAAGTGCAAAGAGAGTTGAGCAAGATAATCCTTAAGACCGAGAAGTAATCTCTCGTCATCTCGTAGACTTGCACCAGAATGAACCACAATGTAGTTTTCGAATCCCGTAAACCGTAACCAGCTCACTCCTTCAAATTATACGTCTCCCTCAGCTTAGGAAACGTCTGGTTGAAAGCCTGGCCCAACGTCCAATTCTCCAGCCTCCGCAGGTGCCGCTCAAAGACGGGGTTAATCAGCACCTCGTCCGATTCCGGCACCTGCAGCAGCGTATCCGTCTCCTCGTACGGCCAATTCAGACTCAGCGTCGTGGTGAAGGGCACAAAGAAGTTGTCAAAGAGGTACTCGCGCGGGTTATAGTCGCGGCACAGCTTGTCGCGCATCGCGGGGAAGGGGACGTGGTCGATCCAGGCCGGGTGCTCGGTGAACAGCTGCGCGGGGCGAGGGCGCGCCCACTCGGGCAGGCGGTCGTAGTTTTCTTGGGTGGGGGATATCTGCCAGCGCATGATGAGGAACATGATGTAGAGGACGGCGACGCGCTGCGGGAGGGCCGAGAGGTCGGGGAAGGTGGCGAGGATGTCGGTGAAGACTTTGGAGAGCGGGTGGGAGTATTTGCTGTTCGCCGGGTTGAGGAGGGAGAGGACGGAGGGGTAGCGCGGGCCGATGATCTCGTGGGTGGAGAGGCCGTCTGCGGCGCGTTGGCGGCGCTCGTGGAGGAAGTCGAGGAGGAGGCTGTCGAGGGGGCAGGTTGGGCCACAGTTTTTTACTTCGGCTGTGTGGTGGCCTAGGGCTCGGGATTCTGGGGGCGCGGAGGATGACGGCTGTTGCTGTTGTTGTTGCTGTCCTTGCGACTGCTGCTGAGGATAGTCGACCTGTGACCGCGGGGTGTGGACGGTCGGCCCGCTGAGGGAAGGGCTCCGGCTGTGTGTGACGGGGCCGACGCCGGTCCAGTCGTGCTTCATGGGCACGTGGTTGTAGCTCGGCGTGTCCTGGGCGCCGTTGACGCCGCTCTGGATCTTGCCGACGCGGGCGTTCTGGTCGAGGAGGAAATCTAGACCGAGACGCTCCGGGCCGAGGTCGAGGCCGTGGCGGAGCCCTTGCCGCTGCTGGTCGAGCATCTTGCTCGCGGCGTACATGTGGTTCGGGGGGGAGAGGTCCGAGACAGGACCTCCTCCTCCTCCTCCTCCACCACCGCTGCCGTTGGGCGTCGTTTGCCAGCCGGCGGTCGGGTCGATGGAGGCCGGGGAGGCCGCACTGTTGGGCGTTGAGGCATTGTGTGCTGAGATGGGCCCGTTGTGCTGGTGGACGTGAGAGTAGCTGCCGCTTGGAGATGGGAAGACGGCAGGGTGGTCTGCCGGCGGCGGTGGCGCTGAGTTTGATATGGTGTTAGTCAAAGATACGTCTGCCCCGAGCATAACGAACTTACGTTGGCTCGGTGGAGAAGCAGAGATGAGAGGCTGGATAGAGGCGATGAAGGTGGCCAGACGGCGCTTCAGGTCCGCGTTCTCGGCCTCGACGGCCTCCTTGGCCCTCTGGACGGCCTGCAGCTCCTGGTAGGGCTGCTGGGAGGTCAGCTCCTGGATACGGCGCTCCAGGTTCTCGATCTGGTTCTTTGTGCGCTCGCGGATGGCTCGCTGGGCTTCCCTGTCTGATCGGGGCCGATGGGAACTTCGGTTAGCGGGTGTGTCGTCATCGAGGTGGGAAAGGGGGGAGGAGGAGCCAGTCAATGTTGTGGAGAAGGATGTATGTGTGCGAGGGTGGTGTGCCGTGAGCGAACAGGGGGTGGTGAGGACGACAGCGAGCACTAGTTTCGAAGGAATGCTGGAAATGGGACGGAAGGTGAAGATCACGGAGTACGAGAAAGTCATGTGTGCAGTGAGGCATGGGATGAGTGGGTGGGTGAGCGAGAGAAGTTTGTGCTCACCGTTGGCGCGCTTCTTGGCCAGTTGCTCCGGCGTCAGGTTGGCGACGCCCCTGGAGCCAGGACCGACACGGCGTTTCTTGTTTGAATCGCCGGGTGGTTGAGAAGCGGGCGACGTGCCGGCGCCGGCGGGAGTGACAACTTCGGCATTCCCGGGGCCAGCCGGGCTTGGGTGGTCCGGAGCACTACGCTTATTATTATTGTAATTCAGGCCGGGGGTCACCGATGAAGCCACGGAGCCGGCGGGACTTGGGTGGTTGACGGCATCGGAGGCCATGGGAATTTGTAAGGCCAGCGTGGGGGGCGGACGCGGAAGCGGAGGCAGGATGGTAAGGCAGGGGAGAAGGGAAGAGAGAAGGGGGGTGGGGGGCTGGTATCGGTGCCGAGTCACCGGAGGTCCACCTCAGCCCAGACTCGGCTCAGTCAGAGAGCCGGTGCTGCCCGTGATCGAGCACCAGCGGGCAAGAGGCATAGGCCTACCCGTACCGTACTACCGTCAAGTGTGTGGAACAGCACGGAGTGGAATATGGGCGGAGTAGCTGTCTGGGAATCCGGGATTGGCAAGGTGATGGTCGGGCCCCTTGCTGGTTTCTTCTGCGGCTGGGCCCCTCCTTGCTTTCGGGGCCTCTTTTTCTTTCTTTGGGAAGCCCGTTAAACTCTTGGAGCATTTGCCGATTGCCGGACCAGTCCAGTTCTCGTCCTCTTTCTGTTAGTACAAGGGGTTGAGCGGCAGAATGACGGGTGACAGGCTTCCTGAGGAGGGACTAGCAATGCAGCGACAGCGGAGCTCTGGGCAGCAGGAGAATTTTTTGGTGGTACGCGAGAAGGGGGGGAATGGTATGATTCTTTTCGCGGTCGGGGGAATCGGGTAACCGTACGGATAGGTTGTGCCTTGGAAAGGCTTGGAAAGGGGGACGGGGAACAGGCGAATGGGAGGGAGAGATAATGAATCATTCAGATCTTGCTGGACGGCTTCGGAGGGTCGAGATCCCGAGTCATGAGTGGCTCAGTCGACTGTGAAGAATGGAGCTAAGCCTCGGCCATTTCTGCTGCAGACAAGGGTGTGTATGCTCTGGGAGTCTGGACTTGATGTGGATGTGTGTTCACAGTTTCCGGCGGGATGCAGCTTTGTGTTGAAGGATTCCTAAAGTTTTGGTTTTGTTCGTTTGGTTCTATTTGGAAACCCGAACTGCGAGAGAGGTTGCAGGGTCTGCAGTTTGTGCTCGTGATACCGTGCTCCGTACACGTGTAGCTGAAGGAAACATGAGACCAAGAGGAGGAGAAGTAGAAACTCAAAACGAATGCATTAGTTGGAATAAAGTTTACAGTTTGCTGGCGGAGAGGCTAACCTGCCACTGCTGCTATCGTGAAGCGGTGGAATTCTCCATTACCTGTGTTCTAAATTTCATAGTGCACAAATTTACGGATAACTGTGTTGAGATTGCACAAGTCATACATGCATAGTACAGATTCTCAAGTTATCCGGGTGGTATATCTTGACCTAGAGAGGATACCCTCCATTTTATGCATCGAGTGCTGCACATGAGGGGACTCTTATGCACAGACCCGTCCGATATATGCAACTTGTGAAGGCCCTCAAGTTCGCATTGCTTCGGCGGTCTGGACTCGGGATTCTGGACTCCCAGAGGCTGAAGCTCTACTACCATGCATGCGCCACCACAATAACCACTCTCCTCGAGCGCTGTTTTCCCGATTTCACACGTCGGATAGTCATCGACAAAGAAACCCCAATGATCGAGAACGACAAGTGCATTCTAGACTCGCGAAACATATCACATGCAATGCTGCTTTGGGACTGCTCCATACTTGCAATAGGCCTGTAGATAGATGTAACATGTAAACCTGCGCCATAGTGGGTATCCATTGAAAGAAAGGAAAGAAGAACGGAAAGAAAACTGTCATCGTGATCATCAGCCTCGTCAGTAAACAGAGACCCGGAGCCTCCCCCCCTCTTCTCCATCAAGCCTTCATCGCCTCCACGAACAACTCGCGCATCCCCTTGAGCAGCACCGCCAGCTCCCTCGTCTCGTTAAGCTGGTCCAGCACCCGCTCCACCCTCTCCCTCTCCAGCTTGGGCCGGCAGTGCCTGACGTCGTAGTCCCGGCTCGCCGTGTTGAGCTCGAACCACGCCTCCCGCTCCCAGTCCTGGTCGTCGACGTACGTGTACACAAACTTGAGCCGGTCGTCCTTGCCCGCGCCCTCGATCCGCAAACCCAGGTTCTGCTGCCAGAACTCGAGCTCGGGCACGTTGAAGCGCGACTGCGCCTCGAGTTGCTTCGCGTGCGCCCGCTGCGCCGCCAGCCGGGCGTCAATCTCCTTTTGCGTCTCCTCGATTTGTTTCTTGAGCGCGTCCCGCGTCGCCAGGTGCTTGTCGCGCTCTTCCGAGAGCTGCGCGATCGCTGCCTGCATCTCGCGCGTCTCGGCCTTTTCTTTGGCTACGGTTTGTTGGTGGGTGCTCGTCTTGAGTTGGAGGATTTCAATGTCCTTCTTCTTCATGCGCTGGTCCTCTGCGGGTCACAGGGTATGTTAGCATTTATTCTTCTTGCCCGATTCGCCGCCTTATCATGTCTCGAGTCCAATTCCGAGTGCTCCCCTTCCCTTCCCGCCGACGCACCTTGTAGTTCTGCCACGTTCATGCGGAATTCGTTTCGCTCCTCCAATACGCGCTTGCGACCCTGTTCGATAAAGGCGTCAAACTTCGAGGTGAACTTGGTCATACGATCGCGAAGTTCTTCGAAGCCAAAGTTGGCGTTTGGCAGCGTCTCGGCGACGGACGGGGTCGCCATGAGCGACTGGCGGTTGATGCTGGCGGACAGCGACGATTCTCGAAATGCGGAAGACATGATGAGTGGTTTTGTTTCGGGGTGGCGATCTCGCTGTTCGGTTTTGCTGAGAAGTTGCGGCCGTCTGTGATTGATGCCCGGTTTACTGTGAATATCGTAATTGCATGTGACGTGTGGCAGGAAAGCAGGCAATGGTGGGATAAATTGGTAGTGGTCGTAATCTTTAGCTGTTTATGCAGCGCGTTGCTATGTCAACAATCTCCCCGCAGAAAATAAGACTGATGACTAAGGGAAAGCGCTGACTCAGCTATGTCTCCGCCAGCGTTTGCCATATCCCATCGGTTTACAGAGCACCATCCAACAATGGCTGTAATCCACGATGACTTTATGGGCTGTTTTTATGCAAAATCCTCCAAAGTATCGCATTGCAGTCGTCTCTGCTCTGAGTCATTCTCTCCTGTGGTTTGTGCCTTTCGTTCCGTTACTCATTACACAGGTCAGCATTGATGGCGCAAAGCCGGAGGATGAAAATAGTGTCCTACGTACCATATATTGCGATGAGCAATCTGGCCGATAGGTCCTCAGTCGCTCGTCAGGGAGACACTGTCATCGACTGGTCTAGACGAGAACATGAAGCATGTTCTGACACGAAGGACCATACAGCCTCTGCCAACCAAGAGTGCATCAATGACTGAAAGGCCATATCTGCCCAAGGAAGATGGAAATGGAGTTCCTTTGAATCAAGAGTTCCTGCACCCCTGACTAGCGGTACAAGTGTATCGATATGTTCTGCTATACGATTCTCCCCTTCGTATCGGCAAACACACCAGTTGATTCACCTCAGAATCCTAGGTGGAAGAAGGCATGCACTGTCTCGGAGCATGCCAATAGCCAGACTTGTTGATTCAGACACACTGCTTTCAAGAGTTCCAAAGATTCTATTTCAGTTTCGGTGTTCACATTCTATTGCTTGAGATATCACCACATATCGAGTGGCCCCGAGTGGGTACTTCTTAAAGCTCCAAAAATTCAAGGCGCTTCTCTTGTCTCGGATCTCTAAAGCATATTTCAAATATGTACATGAAGTATCGAGCATCTACGGAGCAGAGAGCTCTGAGTCTCGTAGAACTCCCTCCATTACCCAGTAGTATCACGGACCTTATTCACTGCGTCATCTGGGCACAAAGTTTTCTCACCCTCTTCCCCTTGAAGAACAAGACAACCCCCAGCAAGCAGAATGCCGCACTCACCGCAGCATATATACCAAACGTCTTGACCGGCCCAATGTTGGCAATGTACGTCGTCGTGTGTTTGCTAAGCCCAAAGCCCACTAACCCACGCGTCACCGGCAGCGCGACGAGAATAGCGCCCGCGAAGCTCGGATGGCTATCGATGAGATACGCCGTCCCGACCGTGCTGACGCCCATCAGCACGATGAGGTAGCCGTCGACGACGGAGACGATGGCCATCCAGTGATACCGCTCCGGGTTCTTGAGGACGTACCCGTACAGTACAGTGAGGATCAGAGCCGTCACCATGGGCAGGATCCAGGCGATGAGTCGCTTCTCCGGCTCGTGGACGCCGTGGTTGCGATGCGCCGAGGAGCGGATGACGTAGTCGCTCAGCCAGCCGATGAGGGGCACGCAGAGGACTGCGATAAGGACTTGGCCCAGCTGGATGAGGGATACCGATGTGTTGGCCCAGTTGTAGGGGGGTTTGACGAGGACTTCTGCGTACGTCATCTGGATCGAGACGTCGATGCCTTGGAAGAGCCCGTTGTTTATGGCGACCCAGAGGACGTGGGGGAATAGAAAGACCTGGCCTATTTGTTTCAGGCAGAGCCAACATCGGGGCCAGGTGGGCTTGTGCACGAAGACGCGCAGGTTCGAGGTGAAGGTGCGTTCCTTGAAGTGTTCCAGGTCGGCGGCGGGGCTCTCGTCTACGGTTGCGTACTTTGGCCCGGGAGAGCGGCTTCTGGTGATGGCGTCCGGGCCGGTGTTTTGTACTGCTGGTAAGAGGTTGCTCCTGTCGGTCGGGTGGCTCCCCATGAACGCCTCGATGGGCCGGTCATATGCGGTTTCGGGGACGAAGAAGAAGGTGAGAACCATGGCTAGGCCAGAGAGGCCTGCGAAAAGCCAGTACCAAGATCTCCAGCCTAAAGCATCGGCCATGTACGAAGATGCGATTACGAGGCTGGAGTTGAGAAGGACTTCGGCGGAGGCATAGATCTGAAATACGCGTGCCCTTTGATGGAGAAAGTAGATATCCTGAAGTAAACCAGAGTCAGAACATCTCACACCAGACTCGCTGTCCAAAGAGCTCATACCTGTAGGATAAGAAGAGCCAATGCCTGGCACTGAGCTGCAGCAAACGCTGCAACCATACGCCCGCCTAAGTGCCAGTAATAGTTGCGGTTCGTTGCGCAGAGGACAGCGGCCAGGAAGAGTAGCACGTTGGATGCTAGGATGACGGGGCGACGGCCTATAGCTACGGCGATCGGCATCGACACCAGATTTCCGAGACCGAGGAAGAGGTTTGGAAATGTAAAGAGATTTGAGATCTGATCCGGTGTGATTCCATCACGTTGGTAGTCGGGCATGATGAACACAATGAGTGCGGATAGTGCGGTGATGAGGCACAGACCGGATATTGCGTCTACACGCATCTCGTGTGAGTCAAGTCATTTCGCTCTGAAGTTCACGGTGACTTACACAGGACGATAATGCCTATGATGAGCTGTTTGTGCCATTTTGGTAGATTGAGAGGGTCTGCATTTGTTGTAAGTCGAGTGACTGAAACTAACATCAGAGAAGCAGATCATCACCATACCTCTGGGGTCCGCGCTCGGCGTGGGAATGAGAACCACTTGGCCTCCCACGGTGAGAGTAGCCGTCCCGTCAAAGAATCTAGGCCGCATCTCGTCCGGCTTTGGCGTACTCATGACGTTGTTACCATCGTTGCTCTTTTCATAATTCTTTTCCACGTCCACATCCCCAACAGGCGGCTCAGCCGAGTCTGGCACTTTCTCTGGGGCGTCCATCTTTGGCAAGAGTCCGAGGGGAGAGCCCGGGCCAGCACTATATCTGAAGTGGATCACTTTTGTTTCCGTTTTAGGAAGGAGGCCGATCTCCACCCGGAACCTAGAAGAGGTTGTCGCAACGTCGTACGAAGAGAGTGTCGAGCTGGTTTGGTGGTGAGTACGCATAAGTCAACTTCTTTCCTCTTGTAGTGGAAGATCGTGTCATCTTTATTGTTTTGATTTCTGAACCTCAACTACAACTGCCGCCTCACCGTTTCCTATCCCCCGCATTAGGGTTACTCTCGTCGTCTGATAGAAACCCGCCGTTTCTGAGGGGTCGGTTTGACGTTTCCTTTCATGATCGAGAGATCCAAGTCTAGTAAAAAGTCTGTACGGCGTAGTCAGCCAAAGTATGAATGCGCGCTATACAACCCTTCCTGTTGAGGCGGCGGGACATCGCGCACCTCGACGATTACACGATGGCCAGGACATGGTCTCCAGATTTGTACTCGACATGTGAAGCACCAGACGCAATGTTTGGTCGACTTATGCAATGCTACGCTGCTATAATGAGACCACTTTACAAGCTAGAATTTAAAGTTCGTACGCAACACTGAGGGGCCAATCTGATACGCCTCTCAACGCCAAGGGTCCTCCATGAAGCCGAACAGTCCGGACGTCGTTCAGACTCTCTGCGAGATGGGATTTTCCCTACTTGCCATCCCCCTTTTCGATGTTCTCACATTCGGCATAGAGAAGACCAAGCAGTGAGCAGCGGTGACAACGTATCGTGTTTCTCCTGCCTGAGTCTGCCGTATACAAGATTCTGGCCGAACCCAGTTTGCATACTTTCCCGGCCAAACCATCGCCGATTGTCAAAAAGAAAATATCAGCAAACTCTTGCGATATTGACGGGGCTCTACGTCACGTCCGAACGCCCTGCCCAATAACGCAAAGAAAGTATGCCATCAAACCAGCTCGGCGCCGTGCAAAGCTCGCAACCTGCCGAAAAACAAGCCGTCGAGAGTTCAGAATGGCGGTCTTCGGACGACAAAACCCCAGAGGAAGTCACCTGCTTCTTAACGGAAGAGAACGAGGATGTGGATGCGGAAGCAACTGCCGATCAACGCCTCGCGCCAAAGACGTCCCAACTGGAAAAGCGTGAACCCTTCGACCCGGTCCTGTGGTCGTCTAGGAAGAAGTGGACGCATGTCTTGGTGGTAGCATTCATCACCTGCGTCACGTAAGTTGGCTAAGTCTACCCTGCCCGCATGGTTGACATGCAGCGGCGCATGTTCTGGGGAAGAAGCTTTTCGCGCCGCTGCTACCGCGAAGAAAACTAAGACCAGAAACGCTAACGACAACGGCGCTTTTTTCCACTCCAGACCCTTGGCTTCTGCAGTCTATACCCCCGCGTTGGACCAGGTGATTGGCGACTTCAAGATCGAGGACAACCCCACGCTAGCGGACCTGACAGTCTCGGCCTACGTCCTCGGCTTCTCCGCCGGACCGCTGCTCCTCGCGCCGCTGAGCGAGACGTTTGGTAAGAAGCCCGTCTATCAGGTCTGTAATGTGGTCCTGCTCGCGTGCAACTTGGCCTGCATGGTCGCGCCGTCGGCTGAGTGGCTCATTGTCTTCCGATTTCTGGCGGGATGTGCCGGCGCGAGCCCGATTACCCAGGGCACTGGGACAGCGACGGATGTCATGACCAAGGAGAAGCGTGCGCGCGCCATGTCGGTTATGGCGTTTGGGAGTGTTTGTAGTCCTGCGATTGGGTCGGCCCTCGGGGGCGCGATTGCCCAGGCTTGGGGATGGAGAGGTTGCTTTGGGTTTCTTGCTGTGATGGTAAGCTACCTTCTTTCCTGACGCCGTCTTTTGTGAGCATCGTTTCATGGAGAAAAAATGCGTCCTGGGAGGCTTTGATGAGGACTAAGTTCTGGGTTTTGGGTATCCAACGATGTATGTGAATCCTGAAGGACATGCTGACAAGTGAGACAGGGCTTGATCAGCACTCTTCTGACTTATCAGTTCATGTGCGAGACATATCTCCCGGTCCTTCGGCGAAAGTACGCTGTGTTAGGCAGTCGCGATGACCTCGAGATGGAACTGAGCGATGAGAAAGCCATTGCTCCGAAGCAATCTCTCAGAAAGCTGCTCTTAAAGGCCGCGATCCGACCGTTCTCTCTCATTTTGGAGCCGAGCATCCTGCCGGCTATCCTGGTAACATCGTTCTTCTACGGCCTCCAGGTGTGGTTGTACATTGACGTTCCGATGACATACAAGGCAGTGTACTCCTTCAACACCGCAGAAGCAGGATTAGCATTCGCGGGCATGGGGGTTGGCATGTTCACCGGCCTTCTCATCTTTGGATTCCTCACCGACGTCGTCGTGAAGAGGTTAGCACGCGGCGGTGAAAGGCTGCCCGAGCACCGGCTCCCACTTCTCAACCTGGCAGCCATCCTTGTCGTGGTCGGTCTGATCATCTACAACTTGGCTGCGAGGCCCGGGGTGTCCTACTTGGTGCCCCTGCTTGGAAACTACCTTATTGGCAGTGGATTGTTTGCCATCACTGTGAGTTCCCATATTTCAGTCCCAGTACTCTGTAGAGAGTCAGATATCTGGCCGGAGACCGAGCATCGGGGTCACGGAAACCGAGGTCGCCTGCGAGGAGATCCAATGACGACTGACTTAAGACTTGTTGTAGATGACTTCGGCTGTGTACATCATCGACTTGTCACCGCAGCACGCCGTTGCGTCGAGCGCGTCGCTTGCACTTTTACGATACCCCTCTGGAGCGTTGTTTCCCCTTTTAGAACATGCTTTTGAATCTCTCACCAGCAACAGTAGCGCCAAGTGGCTCATCACGGCCGCGTCTGTCTCCACCATCCCACTTGTGGTTTGGCTCCAGTACAACTGCGAGCGATTCCGGGTGAGACTCCGGGACTTATTGTGAGAAGTGGTGTATTATTGATACTTGTTGAATCTGTACCATTTAACAAATGATACCCTTGCGAGAAGCTTTCTATGCTTGGAAGTCAGCTTCGTTGGAAAGAATATTCTTATAAACGACGGATGTTTGTTTAGACTTGGTTAGACTTTGGATCTCGAAACATATTTTTTGGGCATTAGAGAGATTTGAAAGGGTAGATAAGGAGGTAGATGTCTAAAAACGAATAAATGGTATTTCACTTTCGCCGACAGAAATCAGGATGGAGGGGTGTTCAGAGTCGGGTAAGGTAGTGGGAAAGGTTACGGTAAGGTACATTGTGAATGTTAGTGGAAGAAACGGTTATGGCCCTATCTCCAGTATCTCCATAGAAGCATATGCGAGTCACGTCACTGCCTTACATAAGCCATGGCGCAAACCTGGAGCCATCTGTCTGCTCCATCCGAGCGGCGAGGAACCAATGACATCGACACTATTCGTTTGGGAGACGGCAGCCCGTGGAACTGGATTACGCTAATCCCAAATGAAACCAATTATATCGTCACGCGGCTCGCACATCAAGCTGGGAAATAGGTCGACCAACGCTTTCCCCACGTGTTGCAGCCACCAGGAAATCGCGGGATGCTATTCAAGTAGCTTAAACACCATTTCGACCCTTTGAACCAGCTTCGCGATACCGATACCAATCGCCCGATAAGAAGTCGCACGCGACCCTTCTGCCACCATACCGCCCCCAGCAGATCTCCGTAATCCCTCCTCTACCCACCAAGCAGGCACTGCAAGCCCACAAGTCCTAATTGACCTCGATAAACCTTCTACAGGCCTTCGGGAACGGGGAGGGAGCTCCACCAACAGCAGCAGCAACTCCACCGTTGCTCAGGCTGAGAGCTACGAGCTTGCCGACTACAAAAACATCTCCGCTCAGAAGGCCGCAAAGGACCTCGAAGCCCGACGAGAAGAGAAAAAACTTTGGAAGAGAAGGTGGCTCGACGAGCAGGACGATATGAAGTTCTCACACAGCATCCAGTTTAATGCTGTTCCGGACTGGAGCAGTCATTACATTGCCTACAGCAACCTAAAGAAGCTGTGAGTACCCAATGCCACCTCTGGCCGCGCCATGTCCTGAAGACCTAAGTAGCTAACTAGATCTGCGTTGCAGTATCTACCAACTCGAGAAGACAGTCCACCAAACCTCCTCAGGTGACGCCGAATCAAGACCTCTTATCCGAAACGAAGAACCCGAAGATGTCTTTAGCCGTGCGCTCGGTGTAGAATTGGAGAAGATTTGCTCCTTCTACGTGTCCAAAGAGGGCGAACTTCTTGACGAGGTGAATCAACTATTGGGAGATGTTGGCAACCACTCTTCAGAGGACGACGAAAATGATGGCGAACCCAGACGTTCATTCGGCAGCGCCTCTCGGCCCGGACTTTCGGTCAACGGCAGGAGAACTTCCGTCTCAATCGATGGCAACATGGAGGATAGCGACGATGACGAGGACGATGATGAAACCACCGGCTTGACGAAGAGTCGCTCAAGCCTTGGCGGTGGCAGACGCAAGACTGCCCCGAATCTGGGGCACTCGGTCACTGATATGACTGCTTCAACTGATCTGACACTGGGAAGATCGCTGCGGCGGTACAGCACGGCGAACGACGAGATCCCGGACCAGACTTTCCTCTACTCTTCGGGCATCATGCTCAAGAAGCGCATCATCAGCCTCTACGTCTCGCTCTGCGAGCTCAAGTCGTATGTGCAACTGAACCGGACGGGTTTCAGAAAGGTCTTGAAGAAATTCGACAAGATTCTCGACAAGGAGCTGCGGGTCAAGTACATGACTGCCAACATCGACTCCGCATACCCATTCAAGTCGGAAAACATCAAGAGTATCGAGGAGAACATCTCCAAGATGGAAAAGGCGTACGCCGAGATAGTGACTCAAGGCGACGAGGGACTTGCCAAGCGAGACCTGAGATCTCACCTCCGCGAACACGTTGTTTGGGAGCGTAACACTGTCTGGCGAGACATGATTGGTATGGAGCGTCGCGCAGAGGCTGCGAGCTTGGGCAGAGGGCTTCTGGGAAGGGATGGAGCGACGGGATCCAGGCGGTTGCAGGGCGATGATGAGCTTGCCCCAATCACCAAGGAGGTGGTTACTCCCGTGGGCCGTTTTGTCGTGCCCACGTGGGTTGCCAACACGCCTCTGCTCACTCTCCTGATCGCTCTCGGTGTTTTTCTCCTCCTCCTTTTCCTTCCCATCATGGAGAAGCCCGAGCAACAGAACTGCTTGGCGTTGCTTGTGTTTGTCAGCATCCTTTGGGCTACAGAGGTGAGTTCTCTCTGGATCGAATGCAAATGGTCGATGCTAACCTCAAGATAGGCCATTCCGTTGTTCGTTACGTCGCTTATGATACCCTTCCTCTGCGTCGTTTTGACTGTCGTTCGCTCTGAAGAAAAGCCCTACAGGAGGCTTGATGCCAAGGCCACCACGGCCTACATCTTCTCGGCCATGTGGACACCCGTCATCATGCTTCTGCTCGGTGGATTCACCCTGGCCGCGGCTCTCTCCAAGTGCAAGATTGACAAGCGGCTCGCGACATTTGTCCTTAGCAAGGCCGGAACCACTCCACGCACTGTACTCATTGCCAACATGCTCGTGGCGGCATTTGCCAGCATGTTGATCAGCAATGTCGCCGCACCAGTTCTTTGCTTCTCCATCATTGAGGTTAGTTTTCCCTCACCCCCTTACTTGTGGGAATTATCGCTGACTTGTGCTGCAGCCGATGTTGCGAACGCTGCCCTCAGAGTCAAACATGTCCAAGGCTGTCATCATGGGAATTGCGCTCGCCTCCAACATCGGTGGCATGCTATCCCCTATTGCCTCGCCGCAGAATGTTGTCGCTATTGGTATCATGAAGCCCGCGCCTACCTGGATCCAGTGGTTCTTCATTGTTATTCCTGTCGGCATCGTCTCGTTGCTCCTCATCTGGATCTTGCTGTTGATTACGTTCCAACCGAGCAAGGGAACCACCATTGCTCCGATCCGCCCTGTGAAGGAAAAGTTCACAGGCATTCAATGGTTCGTCTCCATCGTCACGCTCATCACCATTGGCCTGTGGTGCGGTAGCCACCAGATGGAGTCCATCTTTGGTGACATGGGTGTCATTGCCATCATCCCCATCGTCCTCTTCTTTGGTATTGGTATCTTGACCAAGGAGGACTTCAACAATTTCCCGTGGACCATCATCATCCTGGCTGCCGGAGGTTTGTCTCTGGGCAAAGCCGTCAAGTCATCTGGTCTTCTGCACACGGTTGCTGGCGTCGTTACCAAGGAGGTCGAGGGCATGAGTCTCTACGTCGTCCTTGTCGTCTTCTCAGCCCTTATTCTCGTCATCGCCACATTCATCAGCCATACAGTCGCAGCTTTGATCATCCTGCCGTTGGTGTTTGACGTTGGCTCCAACATGGACGAACCCCACCCGAATCTGTTGGTCATGGGTGGTGTTTTGATGTGCAGTGCCGCTATGGGTTTGCCAACAAGTGGTTTCCCCAACATGAGTAAGTTTCTTCAACGTTCCCAATTCGGAAGATTACTGATCAACGATCCAGCTGCCATTATGAAGGAAGACCCGACTGGTCAGAGATACCTCCAAGTAAAACATTTCATCAGCCGAGGTGTGCCCAGCAGTATTCTCACATTGGTTGTCGTCGTGTCCTTGGGATATGGCCTCATGAGGGTCGCTGGGTTGGACTAAGGTCTTGTCTTTACGTGACCGCTACGTACACGAATTTGGTCATTGATTTCTGTATCGTATGCCTGAAAGAAGAGAATGCTGGGCTGCGTTTCCCTCGATTTGTTCCAAAAAGGGCGTAAATCCAAAGGATCTCCAAAGGGAAGCCTGCGGTCGGAACATAGACACCGGTTTACATATTATACTTGGCTTTTCCCTGGTTTCTGTTTGATAGCTTTTATTGCTCTTATTTTGTATGTAAGGTAGACTGGAGTAAGCGATAGAATGATACTGCGAAGCGTTTACTCAGGCAATGATCCGGATGACTTTGCAGGTTTCTGCTAAATAGCTGAACTTCAGCTGATACCTATTGATATTCAAGAGGAAAGGCATGATATTCTGACGTAGAGAAGGTAAAATGATGTTGAAAGTAAGCTTCTATGCATGTGACGCCAATATGCTCTGCGAACCCCGGCAAGCCCGCCAACCAATCAGATGCTGTAAACAGCATAGGTTGAAGGAGGTGGAGACAGGTTGCTCCAGGTGGGAGGGTGGCAGTGGCACTAGTCCGGATTGGGCAGAGAAAGAGGTCATCGGCTCCCTTGTGGAGTCTTCGCCCTGACGTACCGCCAGACGGCGCACTTTCGCCCAGCCATACCCGAACCGATACCTGGAGCTCAACAATCTCTCACTCACACACACGCGCGCCGTCATGATCGCATCTTGAGGCTCTATTGTGACAGACTTGGCGCTCCCTCTACAAACCACCCTTCTAATGAGGACATAGTAAACATACAACATATCCGCTCGGTGAGCTGGCAGTCGCCATGCTTTCGGCATTCACAGCTCGGCCGATCATAGAGCTTAAGCAACGGGATAAGTCCAAAATTGAGACAATCCTCGCGCATGGTGCGCTCCTCTCGAGTCGCATAATCTCACTGTGACAGCTTCATCTAATAAATTGACGTAGGCGATCGTGTTTTCGTAGGCCTCAACAGCGGAGCTCTTCGCATCTACCGTCTCAACGAGCTACCGCCTCCGTCGCCGACCCAGGCCAATGGCTCCTCTCAACCTACCACGGCGGGCTCGCAAGACGCAACCGAGACCAACACGACGACAGAACAGCCGAAGAAACCCACAGACCTACTGCGCGAGGTAGAAAAGTTCTCGAACAGGGCGATTGAGCAGCTCGCCGTAATCAAAGAAGCCAACACTCTTGTCTCGTTGTCGAACTACTACGTATCCCTCCACGACCTCGGAACCTATGAGCCCCTAGA